TGATTTCCCTGGACTAAATACACAGATGGTCCCAATTATCAATACACATCAGTTTCGCAAAACATGGTAGTTCATCATTATAAACATGAGACCAAAACAAATAGTTTACAGTATGCCAAGTTCACACATGTTTCAGAAATAATTTGATTCCATTGATAATATAATAATTTATCAAAACAGTTTAGTCCTGAAACAACAATTAAATTTTCCAACAGTTCAGGGTAGGGGAACATTTATAAAAATATGTAGCATGAAACTACTCACCTAAAAACAAAATAAAATAGTCCTCGAATAGAGTATGAAAGTCCAACTAGTGTCCTGAACCAAGTATGAACACTACACATCACTACTAATTTAAAAATACTAAAGAGAATAATAAACTAAGTACCCTACACTAAAGCGCACTAACACAGCTCAACCCCACTCACCATTACTCTTAAGTAATGCCTAAATTCATGTTCTTCAAGGTCTGAATTTACCCAAGACATGGGGTCTGGTCGAAACTTAACTAAAAGTAACTTTAAGATAAAATAGAGTTTTAAACAAGTTTTCCTAATCTATTCGCTAACTTTGAAAATTACAAAACCCACTTCACGCTGTTCGAAAAATTCCAAAACCCTCCAGATATCAACTAATATATCCTAAGTTTCAAACCCAATTGGTTTTACCTGATTTGCTTATCAAAATAATTGTTTACAATTAATTACACCCAAACAGGTTGTTTTCTACAGCACTTTAAAGAAATTAATGGTTGTCTTAGTATACACGAGCAATCAACGCAAGGCCAAAAATGTAAGAAAATAGACTCGTAACCGGTTCTAATGACGCTGATTTGATAATTTTCAAATTTATATCCAAAGAGAACGACACTTCTGAATTTACTGTTTTAAACCAATTTTCTGGACAAATTTGAACGCATCAGTTTATATGTATTTCGACTTCCAAAAATTATGAGAAAATTCAGATATGCAATTCAATATGTAATTAATCTACTTAAAAAATTTCAGATTAAAATTCATTCGTTTGATATGGTTCCTTGATTTTTAAAGTTTGTGATTATGTGCAAAATTCTAAAGATATCCACCCACAATTTAAGCACAAGTTCTACTCCTTAATTTGCTTTCAGATTTCTTTAAAATGAAATTTGCTTTCATATTTCTTTAAAATGAAATATATATATTGAGATTGTTATAGTACAAAAGGTAAACCAAGACTAAACTATTATTATGGGTCACTCATGCATTAATATTTGCAGCCCCAAATATTATACCCAGCACCATAGTTACATCCACAATATCCACTTGTACTTGCTTGCAAAAGAAATCAACTACACCCAAAACCTCCCATCACCAACCATTAATTTTTCACACCACCATCCATCATCCTCACAAGACAATGATCTCAGCAATTAAATGAATACACCATAGCCTTACCTAAAAGAAACAATAGCATACATGAATACATAAAAAGTACTTGCTCCTTCTTTCAATCTCCTTCAGAAGCAACCCTTCTCTCTCTCTCTCTCTCTCTCTCTCTCTCTCTCACGGCTGCTGCTATATTGGTGGTGAACAAATAAGAGGGTAGGGTTTGTGTTTATTTTATTTTATACTAGTGGTGGGCACACATAGGTCAAATAAATAGGTTAATATACAATATATAAGTTATATGCAACTCAAATGGTAAGAGCCTTATTTATAATTCTTGTGGTCAAGAGTTCAAGTCACACCCTCTATTCTATTTTTTTTTTTTAATAATAAATCTTGTCTCTAAATTAAAGATTTTCACCATAAATTTATTTTAGGTTTAAAATTAATTAAAAGAACCTCCAAATATTTAATTTTCACTTTAAGATTCACCATCAAAATATTTGAAATTATAAAATTATTATTATTTAATATTTACTTTATTTTTGTATTCGGGTTCTCATAATGGCAAATAGATGTATTTGTATGATAGTTATATTGGTTAGAGACCTACTGAGTTGTATCCTCGGTTTGGTTGATTGAATGAAATGGACATGACTAATAAATTGAGACAAAATGAATTGTGATATAGATTGAGCATAGCATCGCATTCGTTTTGAAAAGAATATCTTGTTGATATTGAAGTATGTCAATTTATTTAAGTTAACAAGTGTGGTTAATTAATTAAATTTGGATTTAAGGAATTAGGTAATAAAATCATAAGGTAATGGCATGGTATGCCTTTATATATATCTGTTTGGTATCACTGTATTGCTGGACTCGCATGTGTTTTAATGTTATAATATGAGATTGTTTGGTGAGCTAGTGGTTTGCTCACCTCTTACCTGTACATGTGTACAGAGAATGTTTTTGGACTTGAGGATCAAACAACAGGTTTTACCTTGATATGGTTATAAAGTGGTGATGAGCCGTAGTGTTTTTAATTCTTTGGCCGAGTTCTATGCTTTGTAAAGGGCAACGCCCTCTTATTTATTGTAAGTCTCAAGACATTTCTTTTATTTGTATGTAAATGTTACTATTGTATGACAAGAGGGAACATGTGTATTTATTTATTCATCATTTCATCAAAAGATGAATTGTTATTTATAAATGGACTTAATTAATGAATATTGATAATGTTATCCGAGTAATAAAAAATACAAGGTTTGACAACTTATGTGATTTCGTGAAAACTTACGTAATTTTGTCTTTCACAAAAAAATTATGAGATCACTTATTGAAAATTTGTGTTAACTTATGTATTTTTATGAGATTATTTACGTGAGTTTGTGAAAATTTACATGATTTTGTATTATTTCAAATTTTTTGAGATCACTTACTCGAGCTTATATTACTTACATATTTTTGTGAGATCACTTACATATTTATAATATAATCTATTATTTAAATGATAATGTTAGCTTTATACAATGTTGGGAAATGCTAGGTTTCATGAAGAATTTTCATGAAAACTGTCATGAAAATCATCTGCACCGTTAGATCAGGTATGTGTCTCATGATCCAACGGTGCAGATGGTTTTCATGACAGTTTTCATGAAACGTAACAGGACCCTACAATGTTTACTGAACAATACTCGTCAACCAATGAAATTCGTGGGCATATTTGATACGCTAGGGGCCTCGAATTGTCGACCCGAATGCCTTGACAAATCCTCTCTCTTCTTTTTCTTTTTTTTGTTTTGGTTGGTTTATTTTTTATTTTTTAGTTTTTGCAAAGATAGTTATGTGTAGGGATGTATTAAAAAATTAGACATCTCGCACCGACTTAATCTAAATTGGTTGGGTAATAAAATTGACTAATTAGTTAGATTTTTGATTAAAATTTGTTTATTCAATATAATTCACTCAACCAATCCGGACTGAATTGATGCGGAATGCCTAATTTTTTGATACACCTTTACACATAACCAACTTTATAAAAAAAAAAAAAAAAACACCACCCCAACACAACCCAAGAAATAAAAAAGAAAAAAACAAATATATATATATATATATATAACAGAAGTCGAGGCATTCAGTCTCAACAAATTCTACTCCCCATACATTTCCCAATATGTTAATCCTAGTCTTTTTGGCATTTCTATCACTTACGTAAACAATTCATTTTGGTTTACATTTTTCAATGTAGTTGTTGTGTCAAGCTGGAAACAGCTGTCAAGAACCAATAATCTATAGTCTGCAATATATTATTCTTATTATAAGCTTTTGTTACTGCGGAACTTACATCATCAAACACAGACACGAACCCACATTGTAGTGAGAGAGAAATGGAGCTCCAACATTTTAGCCATGAACATCCGTTGATCCTCGGTGAAGTGAACGACGATGGTGAGGCAATTGTCTGCAACGTGTGTTGGGAAAACATCTCTGGTTCTGCATTCAGTTGCAAAAATTGTTTATTTTTTTTACACAAATTTTGTGCTGAATTTCCAGAGGAGATGAAACACCCGATCCACGCCCATTCCCTTACGCTCCAAGATTCAGGGTCTTCTAGATGTTGTGATGTTTGTAACGACGATATACGCGGATTCACCTATCAATGTTCTCCCTGCGGTTTTGACGTGGATATCAGATGTAGTGTTAGAGGCCAACATTTTAGCAGTAAACATCAGTTGATGATCCTCAATGAAGATGAGAAGAATGATGTTGATGAGAGGCTTTCTTGCGATGTGTGTTTGCAGCAGATCACAGGTTCAACAGCAGCGTACAAATGCACAAATTGCTCTCCCTCTATCTATTTCCACAAATTGTGTGCACAACTACCCGCAGAGATGGAACACCCAATGCACCCTGAGCACCCGCTTGCCCTCGTCCAAGTAGTGGCTGATGAATTCGTATGTGACGGCTGTGATATAGATTTGAAAGAATTCATGTATCGTTGTTCCACCTGCGATTTCAACCTCGACAGACGCTGTGCTTTGAGAGCACGAAAGGTTAACCATGAAAGTCACAACCACCCATTAAGACTCGTGCCCAGCTCGGCCTCCTTCGAATGTCATGCTTGTGGCACAAAGCGTGAAGGCATGTCTTATATGTGTGACACGTGCAGTTTCTGGATCGATAACGACTGTGCTTCATTAACACCCACCTTCAAACACCACACTCACATTCACCCTCTCACCCTCATCTTTCCTACTCATAAATATCACTTCCGTTTTAGTAATTACTGGTGCAAAATTTGTGAAAATTTAATAGGGGAAGGAAGGTTTTGGTTATATGTTTGTATAGGATGCCACTATTGCATTCATGTCAAGTGCTCAACAAAGACAAAGTATGCTTTCGCATTTACCCTGATCTCGATTTTTATTTTCCCTTTTGACAATGACAAGAAAAAGTTTATTGACAATGCTTTTCTCCTCATTTGATGTGTTTTCTATTGTTATTTTGTGGATTTAGGGATAGGGAAAGAGAAAGTGCAATCGAGGTTGAGAATATTGACGAGGCCAATTTGATTCACTTGCCAATGGCTGATGACTCAATTAGTGCAATTGACCTATTTTTGAAGCAAATCCGCATGGGAGACAACAAGAGAGAAGTAGAGCTCAACCATTTTAGTCATCATCATCCATTAATCCTTTTCGATGCGCAAGGAGACAACAATTTGTGTTATGAGAACCAACTACTTATCTTGAATGAGCTGAATAAGGACAAAATATGCAATGCGTGTGTGCGAAAAATTTCGGCTCCATTTTATACTTGTGGTCTATGTGATTTTTTTCTCCACAAATGGTGTGCCGAGCTACCAAATGAACTCGAGCATCCATGTCACCCACACCAGCTCATCCTCCTCAAAAAGCCCCCTGAACCTAGAGGATTGTTCTTTTGCACTGGCTGCGGATGTTATTGCAATGGATTTGCCATAACATGTATCGAGGATATATGTTCGAATTATTTTGAAAATTACAAACTCGATGTCAAGTGTGCTTTCCTACCCAAAGCCATCATTCATAAAGTTCATGAGCATCCCCTCTACCTAAAGAAAGATTGTATCACCGCAGGTTGTGCTGCATGTCCTCGAATGATTTCGATGTTCGCATTTGGATGTGACATTTGCAATTTCAACTTACACTACACATGTGCTGTGCTACCAGATACAATTAAGCATAGGTATGATGAACATCATCCCTTCACCCTAATTTACGCACCCATTAAGGATGGACCCGATGAGTATATCTGTGAATTTTGCGAGGAAGAAATAGACCCCAACTGGTGGTTCTATCACTGCATCGATTGTGATCAGTCTGCTTGTGCCAAATGCATTTGTACGGAGAGAAAGGAAGTTCAAAATATCAAGTGGGGAAGCACTTATAACTTTGACAGTCACCCACACTGTCTCATCTATGTTCCAATGACAAACAAGAGCTTTAACTGTGCCTACTGTCACAGGCATATCAATTCCCTGTCTCTTGTAGAACAAGACATTGCGAGTAAAATAGGCTTCAAATGTGAGCAGTGTAACATTATGCTCCATGCACATTGTCCTCATCCATAACATCTTAAGCGTGTTTGTTTTAAGAATTTGATGAGAAAATGAAAATGAAAATGAAAAGAAAATGTAATCTTATTTTTTGTTTGATTATAATGGAAAGTATAAGAGAAAAGAAAGTGAGAGGGAAATGTAATCTCACTTTTTGTATTTTGAGTGCACTTGGCTTTTTTCTTTTTTCATTTGTCAACTTAACCAAATATAGTTTAAAATTTAAATCTTATCAATTATTTCTTTTTTTTTTTTTTTTTTTTCTTTTTATTTCTTTCATCAAATCTTCCAAGTCATAATTGAAAAAAAAAATCAATATGACTATTTATGCTTTCAAATGCTTAAATAAAAGTACCTTCAAGTTTGTAGATGTCACTCGCTAATATTAGATCATTATAGGGAGTGGTTAGTTCAATTCCACTCTCACATTGGTTGGGTCATTAAGACATACTCTGCCAATGGCTAATATTAGATCATTATAGGGAGTGGTTAGTTCAATTCCACTCTCACATTGGTTGGGTCAACAAGAAATACTCTGTTTGGTTTTGACTTTAGTTTTCAAAAATAATTTGATTTTTTTTGTGTTTTCTTGTTTTTTGTAAATTTTTTTAATACTTTAAGTAATTTTTTTTTTTAATGCAAACATAGATACAAGTATACTGAATAAATACAAAAAAAAAAAATATATATATATATATATATATTTTATGTTTTAGTATAAGTGTTCTTTTAAAAGATTTTTTTTTTCACTAATAATTTATTTTTCAAGTGTATCTAACTTAAGTCAGTTTAAAAAGTATTAAAAAAAAAATTTGCTTAAAATATTTAAATGTTCACAAAAAAAATAAAAATACACATATATAAAATGTTTCCAAAATTTAAGCTAAAAATATAATTTCTTAAAAGTTGAGGAGAGGCACCTGCCCCTCTTGATCTCTTGCTCCACTCAACACTTGTTGGACGCTTACATGTCTTATTTAAATGCACGTCGTTGTAAGGATTCTAACGACATGAAATGCACGTCGTTGTGAGCATTCTACAGCGCGCAATGCAATGCCGTATATCAACCAGTCTTGAAAAGTGATTCACTTCAATGGCATGCCGCAATACGCTGCTAAAAATCCTTTACCAACAAATCTTATGCATCGTGTTTGACTTTTCTACAACTATTTTTGCACGCCGTTAATTCAAGAGACAAACCACAAAGTTCATTACTAGTCGCTGAATATTTAATACAATGGCCTATTTTGTTTGCCGTAGATAGTTCAAGTTTCACAGCATTTTTGGCATGCCGTAAAATATGTATATTTTAAAAAATAAAAATAAAAAATCAGTAAGTTTTATTTCACCTGTTCTGTACAATCTAAGAAAACATTACAAACAAACTTCACAAACATATATATATATATCAATCAACTACCAAATATTATTTCAAACATCCAATAAAAAAAACTATCCATAAACCCTAAACATCCAAAAACTATCTATACACTCCAAACCATCCAAAAATTATGCTTTCAGACATCAAAAACTATCCTTAATTTAAAACCGTCCAAAACGATCCAAAAAATTCTTTAAGTTCTAAACCATCTAAAAACTATCCTTAAATTCAAAACCACTAATAAGGGGCCTTTTGTCTTATTACGGACCATGTCGAAATATCATCCTCTCAAGGGGTAGCCTGAGGAGCAAGGAAGAGGCTCAGCTCAACGCCCACTTTAGAAAACCTGGCAGCTTGACTTGGAAGTCTCACAATCTGCAAGAATGAGTACAAGAAAGACAAACGGGGACAAGCTGAAATGCAACAGATTATGATGGGAACAACTTTAGTCAACTCACCCAAATTGAAATCAACTGATAAAATTAAATCATAACATGAAGAAATCTCAAGACTAAACAATAATATTAACAACATAAAATTAGACCACTTATTGGTTAGAGAAACAGTCAGAACTTAGTCCTGTTAGTTTATTTAATCAAATGATCATGTCTAAAGTGCTACAATAGTCTTGCACTAAAAAACTAAGAAATACTACATAGTTAATAAAAATATATTACATCCCTACTCGCATAGGTAATGAGTTTGCTTTAATGATCACACTAAATAAATCGAAGTTTCCTAGTGATGCAAGGATGAATAGTTGAAAATAATATGAACGAATTAATTCAACCAAAAAAAGAACATTTGATTGAAACTGAAAGTAAAAAAGTAAATAAATAGACAGTATGCCTTAAATCAACCAAAGAAAACATTTGATTGAAACCAAAACAACAAATATATAAAAGGACCAATGTCAACATTTTAAATATTAGAGAAGCACATAGAATTATCCCAATAGAAGAAGCTGATAAATCACATGGTTTACACTTCACAATTAAAGACAAAATTCCAAGAACTTTTATGAAAGTTCAGTTCTATAATACTAAGAAACCAATGCATATCTGAAAAGAGCAAAATGCCCATTATCTGCTTCCAATCATTTACTGCCCAAACTAATTGATGACATAACACTAGAAACTTCTATGGAAGATTCAAAATTGTTTAGAGAGTCGTGAATTAAGATAATAAAGGTTAGGAAAAATGAACATACCTTTAGGTTCTGCATTCAAACTCTTTGCTATGAGCTAACCATAGTTCCCAAATGTTTCATAAAGCCCACTTATCCCAGATAGTCTTTTCACATCTTTAAACATTTGAGATACTATTCAATTTGTTTGGTTTCTGTTTTCTGAAAATTGAGTTTTTTGTTTTTTGTGTTCTTTGTTTTTAATGAATATTTTTAAAATTTTAAGCATTTCTTTTTTAACTTTTTAAGATGCACCTTACTTAGATGTATCTAAAAAGTAAAAAATTTATGAAAATATATTTTAAAAAATTAATAAATACACAAAAATATGAAAAATATACTCAATTTTCATATTTTTTTTGTATTTTTGGTATTTAGTGATTTTTTAAAAGATTTTTTTTACAAAAATTATACTTTTTAAGTGTATTTATGTTAGGTGTGTCTAAATTTTTTTTAAAAAATGCTTAAAATATTAAAAAAATTCTGTAAAAACAAAAAAAAATACGAAAAATAAGAAGTAGAATTTTCTGAAAAGTGAATTCTAAAAAATGAAAACAAACAGAGTGATTAGTGCTTTCTAAAAGTTAAGAGGCTATACAATGATTAAATACTAAATCACTAATAGAGTATGATAATCTTGGCGATGTTGATATATCTATATAATAAGGGAAGAGAGTTTTTGAAAATATATAAAATGTATAAGAGATACATTTTAATTTAATGGCTGAGATTAATTCTAAGTTTCTATCAATGGTTCAGATCAATAGATCTCCCGCCCAAGACTTCTCTCCACCTACGCACGTCTGCCTCCCCACCTTCCCTTTCTATCTCTCTCTCCCTCTCCCTCTCTGTTCTTGAATACATCTCTCTTTCACAGATACATCTCTCTCTTCCTCCTATCTCTTTCATACGCTACTCTCTCTTCTCTTGCGATGACCACCGTCCACCTCTCCTCTCCCTCGCCGGAGACCCAAACTCAAACCCTCTATTCCTGTCTTCCTCCCTTCATCTCCCGCTCCTTCATCCCCCTTCCCCATTTTAGGCCTTTGTTTTGCAACAAACCCATACCCGCTTTGCAACAAACCCATATCTTCTTCGATTCAGTGAGAGGAGAGAAAGAGGAGGGCATCGTCGTCCCGCCCCGCTGACGCCGACGCCCTACCCCGCCATCCCCGACAAGAAGGTTCGAAATAAATGAGGTAAAAGGTCGCAGTCCACCTAAATCTGTGATGTTATGTGTGTGTCTTTGCCCAGAAATCTGTGTGTGTGTGTGTGTCTTTAGATTCAGTTTTGGAACTAAAATTTGACAATAGTAAATGTTGTGTGTGTGTCTTTGCCTAGGAATCTGTGATGTTATGTGATGCTGTGTGTGAGTGTGTTTTGACAGTATGTGATGGTTTCGATGGCTTCTACTGGTAATCAATTTTTTTTTTTTTTAATTTTGTGTGTTCTTGTTATGTCTATAATGGCCCCTGTTTATGAAGATTCTGCATCAACGTATGGCCCCTGTCTATAATGGCATTTTGTAGTTTAACAGGAACACACAAACTGCCATAACTTATGGCCATTATAGACATTATAGATTCTGCATCAACATAACAGGAACACACAAACTGCCATAACAGGAATGTTACAAAATGCCATTCATTTTAAAATAGAGGTGACAAACAAATATGATTATAATAAATTAAATTTTGATTGGATGGGTTAAAGTCAATTTTTTTTTTTCTTCTTCCCTTTACCCCTGTGACTCAACTCAATATATTTTAGTTTGTACAAGAGCTGAACCTATTCTTTCCTTTATTTATTTATTTTCTTTCTTTCTTTCTTCTTCTTCTTCTTCTCCTCTCATTTTTTTATTTTACTTTCAGAGTGAGGATTGTAAGTTGTGATAAAAAAATAAAAAAATTATACTTTCAACTTTGCCAGTTATTTTGTAAGACTCTATGAACAATGCTGAGATTGGCTCAATGTGGACTAGAAAGAATTTGTAAAAGAAAAACAGTAAAGAGGTCTAGAGTAACAAAAACCAGTTTTAACCCTATTGGTTGTTTCTTTTTTTTCTTCAAATATTTGGCTGTTGTTAGTTAGTCATCTTAGAGTAATGAGTGATAGCATAAACTTACTTTATGCTTGAAGTAGTTTAAACCTATTTTATACTTTTAATTGGATGATTATGCATAATGGTACCTCATTAGTTAGTCATGTTGGTGAAGCGCCCTCTTGAATGTTGTGGGCAAATTCTTGGTGATTGATTTGGAGTATACAACATGTTATCAATCACTTAGAAAGCATACAAACCAACTAATCCCTTTTTCTTTTTCTTGTTTTTTAGTAGGCAGGTCAATTGATTGGTTTGAGGCAAAGGTGGTGTTGGGTAATGAGGTGAGGAAAAGCCGTGAATTTCATGTAATGATTTTTTGAAATGGTTTAGATTTTAGAAACCCATCTTCATGTAATGATTTTTTAAAATGAGTTAGATTTAAATGTGTTTCTGAATGGTTTTGATTCAAAAAATATTAAAATGATAAGTGAACCAGCACAATTATTAAAATGGGTTTCTGAATGGGTTTCTAAAATCAATTTTCATGTACTGATTTTCGGAAACTTATCTTTATTTTGTTTAATTTAGTTCCCCTATTTAACTATTCTGTTTATATCATTTGGAGTATTAATTATGTTTCTCTCATT